CAGCGTGTAGTGGAAACAGACTGCAGGCAACATCTCTATATTGCGTGGACGAACTGCTGCAGAGTTCCAAACTGCAGGGACATAAGCTTATATCCCTCATGAGGCTGTGGAATGGGGACACACCTCTCACCTGCCTCTACTAGTCCAAGGCCACGTTTGGAGTATGAAAGAGAAGTGATTTACTAGTTTGGAAGCCAAGAAGTTGAAGTTTCTGAACTTTAGATCTTTTAAAACCTTTTGAGAAGATATGTGATTCAGCAACGTTACAGATTTAGTTTTGGGTGGGGAAAGGGCTTTATGGTGTCTGAGCACTGTGTGTACATGCATAGGTACTAAAATAATTGGTGCTAGTTTAGGTTCAAGAAACATAGAATGAACATTACAGACAAAAACGGCTATCATGGAGTTTATATTCTAATGACAGGAAGCAATGAACAAAGAAAAAACATACAGTGTATGTATACATATATATGTGTGGAAAAAGATAGCAGGAAGAGTGGATAGAAAGTGCTGAGATGGAGAGCAATTTTAAATAGGGAGGCCAGGTAAGGACTCAGTAACAGGTGACGTGTAAGCAATTACCCATTGAAGGTGAGGGACTGAGCCACGTGGGTATCTAGGGGAAGATAGTTTTATGCAGAAAGAGCAAGGAGTGTGTACGACAGGTTCATGGACCAGCCACTGAAAGGTTATGAGCAGAGGAGTGACATGAAATGACATATTTTTAAAGACTTATATTGGCTACTGTCTTGATAATAGATGAGTGAGGAGCAAGAGCGGAAGCAGGGAGGCCATCAGGTTATTGCAATAATCCAGGGAAGAGATGACAGTGGCTTGGTCAGTTCAAAGATACTAAGCATCTTGCCCAAGGTCACATAACTAGTAAATGATGGGACTAGGATTTGACACAGAGACAGGTATCAGTCACTACTGAATGCTCTCTTAAAAATTTTCATGTGAATAAAATCAAGAAGCAAACATTAAAGTTCCTATTTTGAGAAAGTTAGACAAAGGCATGTTTATTTCACCTTGCCACTTTCTCATTAGACTGGGAAGTCTCCAGGCTCTTGTGGCAATGTGCTGCTCTTCTTTTGGATATATTTTCAAAGCGCCTACAAAATGTTCAGGAAGATTGGATACAAGTTTCCATCCAAAGCCTGGACACATAGGCTATGACAGAAAAAGAGGAGTCAAGGATGCCTCCAAGTTTTTAGTCTGGAGCATGAAAGTTGTCATTGATTGTGATGCGGAAGATCAGGAAATAGGTTTTATACAAGTAAGGAAGGAGGTGCCTATTAAACATCCAAATAGGGATGGCAAGTAGGCAATTAAAATAGGAGTTAGAGGGGCCGGCCTGGTGGTGCAAGCGGTTAAGTGCGCGCTCTGCTGCGGTGGCCCGGGGTTCGCCGGTTCAGATCCTCGGCGTGCACTGACGCACTGCTTGGCAAGCCATGCTGTGGCAGCCTCCCATGTAAAGTGGAGGAAGATGGGCACAGATGTTAGCCCAGGGCCAGTCTTCCTCAGCAAAAAAAGAGGAGGATTGGCAGATGTTAACACAGGGCTGATCTCCTCACAAAATAAAATAAAATAGAAGTTTGAGGTTCAGAGGTGTAGTCTATTCTGAGTGCCCCAGGTTAACTGAGTACCACAAGTTGTCACCCTATTTTGGTTACCACAAGTTGTTAAATATTTTGAATATTACTTTTGATAATATCTATTAAGTGGTATTGCAGTTGTCAACCTCACCCGTTTAGTACATAATGCACATAGTCAGGTTTATTTTTACTGAAAAGCCACTTTGATCACGTAATTCCTTTGCTCAAGGGTCTTCACTAGCTCCCCATGGCCTATTGCAAGAAAGTCAAAATTTCTTAATCTGAAATTTAAAGCCTTTCACAATTTGATCCAAATCAACTTTAAAGATTTTATTTATTCATTTTTTCCCCCCGAAGCCCCAGCAGATAGTTGTATGTCATAGGTTCACATCCTTCTAGTTGCTGTACATGGGACTCGGCCTCGCGCTGGACGGAGAAGTGGTGCCTTGGGGCGCGCCCGGGATCCGAACCCGGGCCGCCAGCATCAGAGCGCGCGCACTTAACCGCTAAGCCACGGAGCCGGCCCCAAATCAACTTTATATATACCACATGAACACTGTTCTAGTCACGCTGGGCTTGCTAGAGTCCTTCATACTTAGGTTTGTCCATCTCTGTTCCATTTAAGATGTTCCCCTTACAGTGATATATCTCAGCTCTCACCATCTATTAAATCCTATCCACCCTTCAAGGCCCAGCAGAAACTCCAACTCCTCCCATAACAATTAAAGCTGAGAACAAGCTCTCTGTCCTCTAAACTCTTACAGGCAGGCACACACACATGTGTGCATGTATGTATATCTATATTAATTTTATTGGAGGCAGGAACTTTTGCTTAGTTTCATTTGGAACCCACTCAGTGCCAAGTGCAAAGTTAGTAATGCATAACTGATTGATGGCCCTTTCCTTTTGTCATATTATTTGTTGCATAAATAATTTGATTGATGGCCCTATCTTGAAGATCATATTATTATTAACATCTAAGCTCTTTATATGTATTATCACTGATAACAACCCTAGGAAGAGGACACTGTTACTCTCCCCATTTTACAAATGTGGGAGTCGAGCCTTAGGTGCCTTAAGTAGTGGATGGTGGAGCTGAGATATGAATCCAGATGATCTGACTCGAGAGACAGATCTTTCAGTAGCAACTAGGTACTCTCTCTCCCACCTAGATAGCACATTCCCTTAAAAATTCACGCAAATAGATTCAGGAAACAAAGGAGGTTTTTCAACCCCCATTCTAAAAGAATAGTAAAGAAAAAGCCATATTTATTTTACCTGGAAAAGAATGCATCCAAGCATTTATAGAAATGTGATGCTCTCCTCTTGGACTAATTTTGAGAATTATCAACTCAAATGATAGTTACAGACCAGTGATTGGTAGTTCCTTGGTCCTTTCCTTCACCATATTTCTCTGTTAGTTATTTTCCTCTATATAATATTTTAGTCACTTGAGAAATGAGGACCCTTCAAAATCACCTTGGAATCATGAGTAAAATGTCTGTTTCTCTGAGAGTTATTGCAGCTAGTAAGACTTTTCATGAAACAAAGCTTGACTAAAGCCAGACTCTTAAAGCATACAACACATGTGAGAGGGGTGGAAGTAAGGCAAAGAGGGCATATGTAACAGAAAATATCCAGTTTATCCCTGGGACTATCCTAGTGCAAGTTCCTTTTTTCTCAAACCAAACATGGGGCTCTCCAGAAGAGTTATTGTTTATTCATAAATCACCACATGGCTCTCTGGAGCTAATAGAAAATCTGTTTGTTGTTAAACTGCATAGCAGAAGAAGCAAAGAAATTGTAATGAAAAATGCAAAGGGACAGGATTTCTGTTCAATAGAAGCAATCACACCACGATGTGCTGTAACACTGAGTGTGCGTCAGGATTCCGGTACAGAAGAGAGCCAGAGGACGACGGTGCCAAGGACACTACTTCCTGGCAAGAAGATGTTGTTTCAAACCACTCCTCTAGGTCAATGTTACCACATCCACTAGGTTATTATTACCAAATACACAGACAAGGATGAAGGGAACCTTGAACTATATTTTTACGTTATTGTCTTATTTTCCTTTTCTGATGAGCAGATTTTAGTGTTAATGAAGTGTCAATCTGCAGGAAATCTCTCCTTATATCCCCTAAAATCAGATCATATGTGAGTCATAACTTTTACTTGTAGAACTCTGAGCAATTGGATTTCCACCTGTATTTTTGGATATTGCCTTAAGGAAACATCGCTCCATTTCACTCAAGCGTACCCCTAAAATAGACCAAGAAACCATCAAAAAGTAAAGACACACACACACACATAAACACACACACAAACTAGCAAAAAGTCCATAAATTTGATATGTGGATATTCATCAACTTATTCATTCAGCAAAATGTGTGGAACACCTGCTCTGTGCCGTGGTGCTGTGGCTACAGAGTGAAGACACCAAGATGTAAATGAGCTATTGTAAATAAGCTCTGCTTAGCTGGTTAGAGCAGATCAGATAAAGTCAGGGTGCAAGAGAGACATTAGCTAGGTTTTCCAGGTCACCAGGTTGGAGGGAGGCCCAGAGAGGAGAATGTTCTAGGCAGAGAGAGCAGCAGGTATTAGGGCGCCTGACTTATTTCAGGAAACAGAGGCAATTCAGTAATGGCTGGAGCACAGGGAGAGCTGGAGAGTGGTGAAGACAAGAAGTAGAAAAAGGGAGGGCCAAATCTTGGACACCCATTCATTCCCTTTTAAAGAGTTTGAATTTCAGGACTCTTAGGATTTATCCTACATATATGTGGATATCTCATAGGGAGGTCTAAATAAAATCGTAAATTTTGTGATTGACTGTAAATCCTTTCTTTTTTCTTTTCAGCAGCACATTCTTTCTTTCCTTTTTGTCTTCTTGCCTTTTCTTTTGCTCCCCCTCCTCCAAGTCCAGAAAGAGGTCTTCTGCTCCATCGGAGCCCATTTATGTAGCTCCAGGCATGCACTTTCCAGCTTTTATCTGAACTCCCTGAGTGCTCTGTTACCTCAATGACAAGAGTCAACTAATTAAAGCTAAAATATTAGTGCAAAATAAAGATTTAACTCCCAATGAGTTGTGGAAAAAATCTGGACTTGACCTATGGAAAAGACAGTCTTAAACTTGAGAACCAAGTTTAAACTTTCTGCCAATATAGAAGATTAGCTTTGCAAACAATGTCCATTTTCTTTGTAATAGATTATTTTCTCTTTTAGTTCCATACGAATTAGTAGCGCTTATAGAGTTATGTATGACTCATTCAGTTTCACACAGCTAAGCTCACATTTATAAGGCATTGCCAGAAAATCTTGCCTTTAGGGAAGCAAGTAACCGAGTTGTCAAAAAGTCAACAGTTACCTAACTGCTCTGGGAAGTACATGAAGTTATGGCAGTGAGGTTGCTGAGGAAAGACTTGGTTTGCCCAGGCTGTCTGTGGTTAACTTCCTCCTCCAGTTGGAGAAACTGCCAGTAAAGGAAGAATGACAATTTACATACCATAGCAAGGCTTATCCTCCTCGCGTCTTAGTCACAGCCCCCTACTTAAGACATCCTGGGAAATCCCTATTTAGAAGAGAAGAAAAGTTAAAATCACAGTTGCTGTGCTTATAACCTTATTCTGTGTAATTCACATACAGAGTCTCTTCTGTTCGTTGTTAATGAAAAACTATTGCTATTATTTTCTATCATGACTTAACTGTTTGTGTGGTCTTTTTCTAAATGTTGTATATTTGGTCTCACTTTAAAAGACACCATAAGAGACATTTTCTTTCTTTTTTTCTCTCTGCTTTTTAAGATTCCAGGGAAGACAACTTCCATGGCAAATTTTGTACAGGGTACAACTAGAACGAGTGCTGCAGAAAGTTCTACGGAGCATGCAGAGGTAAGAACACATTTCTAGGGGATGAATTGACCATATCTACTATCGACAGCATTTCTAATGGCAATGATTTATAAGAGTAGAAATGGCTAGTTTACTTTCTTTAGCTAAGATCTGCTCTATATTTTTAAACAATGTTATTCAAGAAAAAATATCTGAGTGACCACTGCATTTCCTTTGACACTTCTGAGCTTCATTTCTTCTTTTACAAAGTGAGAGATTAAATCCTGTCCTTTCAGCTTCCCAACTATATGGGTTTCATATTTTGCTCTTGTTTTAGGGGAATTTGGTTCAATGTAAAATTTTTAAAGAATATTATATTAGTGTGGTTAGAAATAAAATATATTATAGCAATAAAGTATCCATGGTAAAATATTTATTTATATATGTGCGATTAATACCATAGTCTTTGTTCGGTTACTGCTTACTGCAACAGATACTTACTAATTAAATGAATGAATGAAAGTGCTTTCTCAAAGGTTTTTTTTTAGAGATAACCAAGATATTATAGGAAACCAAGTGAGGCTCTTTTGCTCATTTAGGTAAATTTAGCAGTATAAGAACCTGAATATCTTAGAAGTTGGTCTGGGTCTTATGGTAAATGGGAAAGAAATGCCCAGATACTTTGAACATAGATTACATTTTATAGAGAATAACTGTTCTGTAAGGGGGCCCTTAGTAGGTCCAATGACAAAAAATCTTTGTATTTATTGCAATATCAGGTGCCTTCATTAGCAACTGGAAAGCAAAGCAAATACAATGAAAAGTTCCCCCCAGCCTCTGTGTTTAATTGATTTTTCTTCATTTTAATACCCACCTAAGACATAGGAACCATAGTAAAATGTTGATTAATCTCCAGAGAAATCCCTGGTGATACATTCGTGGCTTACAATCCATTCCTATTACTGTGCTTTCTCTCTCTCTCGAAGATTTAGTATCTAGCTTTTCAATAACTTAGTTATAAAATAAAAATCAAATGTCAAAATATTTCATAATTTTTTCCAGAGAAAATTATATGTGGGAAAAAAATGCACACTGTCTGATTAATCTTACTCGGGATTCCCAGAAGACAGTGTCATACAAATGTTTGCTGGTCACAGATTTTTTTTTTTACCTATATTGGAAATGGAGAAAAGACTTTTTGAGGACCCCAAATCCATGTTCCCAAACGTGGTGTGGAATGGGAGAATCTTGAACTTTAATATGAAACATGATAACCTGTGAAATTTATTAAAAATAGAGGTGGGATAAATAGGTGAAGCACAGAGGATTTTGGGGGCAGTGGAATTATTCTGTATGATACTATAATGATAGATACAGGTCATTATACATTTGTCCAAACCCATAGAATGTACCACACCAAGAGTGAACCCTAATGCAAACTATTGGACTCTGGGTGATAACGATGTGTCCATGTAGGTTCATCTCTTGTACCAAATGTACCACGCTGGTGGGGGATGTTAATAATGCAGAGGGCTACACATGTGTGAGGGCAGCGGGTATATGGGAAATCTACTTCCACTCAATTTTGCTGTGAACCTAAAACCGCTCTAAAAAATAAAGTCTATTAAAAAGAAAACAGAGGAGCTATGGCTCCCTTTTCAGAGATTCCAATTCAGTGTTCAGGGTGCCCTGCTTAGCAAGCTCCCACGATTACTTTGATGTACTCTTGCGGTGAGAACCACTGGTCTAGAATCCAGTCTCACTGCACCTCTGCTTTGCTAAACACAGGACACCCTAAGTAGGGTTGGCTCACAGCATTTTCCACGTCAAAGATGCCTACTATTTAGTCTGTTCTGATCCAGAATGAGTCCAGTCTCTTGGAAGTCTTCTTAAAGAAGGGAGAGCCCAATTATAGCACCCAATATACTTGTCACCTGGATTTTGATGTCACTTCTGGCAGGCAGCCAAACCAGCTTGAAGTCAGTCAAGCAAGTACAATCATTCTGAATTTGTTGATGCACAGAAGAACGTCTTTTTTAAAATGTGGTCTTAATTACACACGGGTCTGAATAGGAAGAAGCTAAGAAAACCAAGAACAGCATCTGTAGAGGTAAAATAGCATCAAACCCTAAAACGTTGAGCAAGACCTAGGTAAGTAGAGAAAAGATAGAAAAATAGTTTTATAAATCATTTCTAATGAAAAAAGTCCTTGAAATCCCAGGATGATTGCAAAAGAGCATTTCCTGTAAACGTTTCTGGCAAGGGCCAACACGTTTTCAAAATATTTCTTAATTGTTCGTGAATATCTTTAAGCAGTTTCATGGTCCACAATAACTATTGAGCCTGAAACTGAGCAACATATTTGGGAACTACCCTCATCACCCGATTCATTGTATTATTTATACGACTCAGAGATGAAATGGTAAAAAGATTCTTGAGTTAAAATATAGAAAACAGTACTTAAGTGAGCTTTGGTGGTGGTGCATTTAGACAGATGGCAGGAAGTTTCCAGAGATTTTGTGCATCTTTGCATGAATATCTCCACCCCTAGGAAAAAAAAAAAGAAACTGAAAAGAAAGGTGGTTAACTTTTTCACCTTGCCAATGATTTATTACTAATCTAAATTTGTAACCTAGTGGCTTTATTCAAAGGGCTGTTTAAAATTAACTATATAGTACCGGATAACCTACACGCACCTCTATAACATATTTGTGTGATAGTCATTGAGGTAGCTAATTTATTGTAGTTGTAGAATCAATTTGCTGCCTTTTAGCTGCATGTGTCAGTCTTTTTTTCTTGAAGTTTCTGTCACTGCCCTGACTTTCACCAGGGCCCCTCTTCAGATTGTGGACACACCTACAAAAATGATTTTTTAGAAATGTTTTCTATGTAAATACCTAACATATATCCGTGAAACTGACCTGATTTCTATATGCATTATACTCTGAATTTTCATTTTCTCAGAAAAGAATTGAAATCCTAATTTCTTACTTACCTGTTATATAGACACATTTACAATTTATTAGAGAATTATTTTGGTAATTAATTCATATAAAGGAGTCTAAAATATAATATAAAGCTTATTGATCAACAGGTCTCTATGAAGGACTATAGTGTGAAGATTGTTACTGCTAGAATAAGATATTTTTATAAATCACAATGTGAGAGTTGACCAAATGCATGGAGTTTGGGAAGGGCAGCATTTCTCCTGTTTATTTTATAGACTATTATGTTTCACTCTTTTTTTTTTTTTTTTAAAGTGTGCTCAATCATCAAGAAGAAAGAACTTGACAAATCCTCTTGAACAAAAGATAAGGTGCTTGGAAAAACAAAGAAAAGAGGTAATTTAGAAATATTAATTAAAGCAACATGTGCCATGGGTTAATGCTGAGAATAAAATAGAGTGAATCACCTGGTGCCTTTATTTTTGTTGTTGGGTCACAGTATTTATCTCTAGGTTACTGTACTGCATTATTTTGAGAGCAAATGCTTTTTTCTTATTCATTCATATTTCTCTTAGTCTCTCAGTGTTTGTGAAAATGAATGAAAAATGACAGTCGTAAATCCGATTATTATAATCTCAGTTTTCTCAAAACGTAGATGTTTCCTCCACATGAACTATGTGAGCTTAATCACCTGTGTCCTTTATGTCTTGCAACTTGACACACCTTGAAACTCATACTGTCAAGGGCTTTAAGTTTAGTGGACTTAGGTGCTATGACTCTGTGAGTTAAGCATCTGATCTCATAGGGGTTAAGGAACATTATCATAAAAAATGTTTGTTTCTAAAATGTCATTGGGAATGTGATGGATATTATTTTGAGTTTGTTTTTCTGAGTTTAATGAATGTTAGAATCTCTTTATTCTTATTGACAGAGGAGGTGGTGAAAAGTATAACACTTTTAGCACTATGACGTGTCTCATTCTATATATTACATCCTTCATGTTCTCGTCTGTGATACCTTCTACTCCTCTTTGATACTGCATAAAATATTGTGCCTTTCTGGAAAATTACTGTCCTATAGCAGAGTAATGTTACCATAGCATAGAAATATTAATCTCTAAAGTGCCAACAGATCAGGTATCTTTATATAATAATATTATATAGTCTTATACTAAATACTCATATCTATTTCCAGCATAAGAGTTACCTAGTAACTGTCTTTCTGGATTAGATATTTTGTTTTGTGATTAGGAGAAAGTCTTGCAACTTTTTAGTCATTTTGACTACCTTCTCAATGTCTGTTCCATATTGATTAAGTGCTGGATTTTCTCTTGATGTAGGAAGTTGCAGACTTCCCTTACAAGAACACTAAAACACAGGTCATAGTGCTTTTTCTTCCTTCTATTTAGCACATAGTTTTGAAACTTCCAAATTGTTTGCAACCTAAATTATTTCTAAATAGTGTCTTATGACAAAACTACTATTCTTTGAAAATCTGTACTTTCAAAAAGGTGATAGTATCCATTTGTTGAGTATATATTACAAATCATGTGTTGATTTTAAAAAGCACAATAGTGCAAACAAATGATGATCAGTTAATGGGGTTTGGGAGTTGTTAATATATAATTTTATTTATTTATTTATTTTTCCCCCAAAGCCCCAGTAGATAGTTATATGTCATAGTTGCACATCCTTCTAGTTGCTGTATGTGGGATCTGGCCTCAACATGGCCAGAGAAGCGGTGCGTCAGTGCGCACCCGGGATCCGAACCCGGGCCGCCAGCAGTGGAGCGCGTGCACTTAACCACTAAGCCATGGGGCCGGCCCTAGGGAGTTGTTAATATAAATTCTGCTTTTAAAAAGCTGGAAGAAGTGTTTCATTAAAATAATCAATGTAAGCACATAGAAAAATATGGAAAGATTGGAAAAAAGACCCTTCATATATAAATAAATCCTAGAGAAAACCATCAATACTCACAAATTTTTACTAGATTCTAGTTGGATTAAACAAAGAAGATGAAAATTCAAATAACCAAGCAAAGTTTAAAATTGCTAATAAACTGTTCAGCTGTCTAGTTAAGATATAAAGACTTAATAGCTTTTCATATGTGAACCAGTTATGAAAAGGTGAGAGTACGTTCAATTAAATCATCCCAGCCCACCTAGAACTTGGTGGAAGGAATACTATCTTCACCCATGGCTTCCAAAATCTCAGTAACCTCAAAAAGTGATTGCCTTTTGGCCAGATTTCCAAATGGGCAGAATCCTTTGTTGACTTACCAAATTTTAATAATTTCAGCTCCTGGAAGTTAACCAGCAATGGGATCAGCAATTTAGAAGTATGAAAGAGTTATATAAAAGAAAGGTAAACACCTCTCTCTGTTTGGTATTTGCTTTTAATCAATAATGTGGTGGGGCCAAGTATGTGAAGATTCTTGCTGATTTCAGCTAAAGGAGATTTGTGGATAGTCAACAGTGGAAAAATGATGGGGAGGAAGATGCTGAGTGCATTATTGGCCTCTTGCTGCTGAAGATTAAGGAACAGTATCAGTGAATTGTCTTGAGTGTTGCAAAACAAAGGTACTAAAAATAGCCTCTAGAGAGGTTTCTAGAGTTCTTATGCACATTTATCACAGCTTACAGAGTATCCTGGCATTGGCTTTGTTACTAGCTACATAAACACGGTTATACGCAAGGTGAGAGATGGTTTAAAGTTCACACTGTTTTATGCAAGGCTAGCTCTAATTCTTTAATCAAACAGCATGAGCTATTTTCCACAGATAAAGAAACAGCGCTAACAGTGAAAGGGGGAGGGGAAGTGGATATCTCACTTTTCTCTAAAGCATGCTCTCTGTCAAGAAGCCTTTGCTTTGGTGAGAAAGAAATTTTTTGGAGAAAATATCTTTTAATAGGTAAAAGTCAATTTATAATTTTAAATCGTTCCATGTTCAAAAAGAGAGAAAAGGGAAAGTAAATTCCCCTGAATAATTCAGAACTAAGAAACCTGACCACAAGTGAGTAATATAGCAGTATTGCTCTTTTCTTCCCCATTTTGATACTCAGAAGTACTACATTTAGAAAGTGCAGGATAATGCTCCTACTACAGGAGGCCATGGTCAGGCCACCTTGTAATGGAGCAGCTTTGTGGTCTCCAAATTTAAAGACTATGATTCCAGAGAAAATGTTGAAGCTGCTTTCCTGAATGGCTTGCAGGTGAGTGAAGACCTGGGGTTAAGATGGGTGTAATTTCCATCTCTGATGAAGCATGTCTCTAAGGCTTCTCTCAGTGGACCGTTGTCACTCTGACATCTAATCTGGCATTTAGTAGCAGGTCAAGCACTGCAGGTTACTGATGAGTTAAAGGCCATGTCTGTTTTTCCCTGGTATAGACATCTTCACTCACCCCTGACCCCTAGCATCAGATCAGGCATGGCACATCTTGAGAGATGAGAATAGAATGACAAGCGTAGAAGCGCCCCCGTCTAAGGGCTAAATCTTTACTCCCTCGTAAGTGGTGTGGTTTGGACAAAGGAGGACAGAGCTAGAGGCTGTTATGGTGTTTGCTTTTTCCGGTAGAGGAAGCTCCTTTTTAAATGCAAATGTCCTGATCTTTGTTAGGGGAGGTGGAAAGTAGAACCTCTCCTCCGGGGACGCCCAGGTGTGGGGCTTTTCTGTCCCCGAGGGCATGGTCTGGGAATAAATCTGGGGGTGCGTGGGCTTCAGAAGAGGTGTCTGCAACTGTCTGTGAACGACTTCCTCAGGTCGCAGAGCTGAAAATGAAACTGGACGCAGCAGAGAGATGCCTCAGCACACAAGAGAAGGAGCGGCAGCAGAGTCAGAGAGAGAGCGACAGGCAGCGCGACCTGGCCCGGGAGCGGCGACAGCGCGAGGAGGTGGGCGGGGCTGAGTGCAGGCAGGGGGCGGGGTTTCCTGCTGGAACCTACCGTTCTGTTAAAATCAGCTCACTGCTGGGCAGTGACCAGCGTGCGAGGGTGTGTAGGTTACGCAAGTCCCCAAAGCCACTATGATAAGGGTCACTTCTCTGGAATCAGATGGAAGGAGATGCCCTTTCGCTTCCTCCTTTGTTGCACAAATAAGCAGGCCTGCTTCTCCAGGCTCTACCAGCAGAGAGAACTGATCCACAGCTGTGCTGATATCTGTCTAGGGCATTTCAGCCTAGGAGAAAATTAATTTTTTTCTTTTGCTTTTCCTCATTTTATTATTATTTGTACTAGTGTTAATAATAATATGACAATATCTTGTATTCGTATAGCTGTTTTTCATCTTACAGAGAGCTTTACAAATAGGTATTGCTTTTGTAATCATAAAAATAGCACATTTAAAACAGTACTTCACCCTCATTATCTCATTTGACATTCTCAGCCCACCTGGGAGGAAAATATTATTTTTGCCATTTTAAAGATGACTTGCTAACGTTGATAACTTGGCACACGGGAAAATGTATTGTGGCCATTGAGGAGACAATTTCTCCTAAAACAGACTCTTGGTTTTACTTTGTTATTGGACTTCATGGATATTGCAGAAAAAAAAATGGGAGGAAAACCTTAAGATCTAAGGGCCTCTCATTTTTTTAGGTATGTTAAGAAAAAACAAGAAGTGTGAATATCCTTGGGTGAAGTCTCATGACTGATGTTGCGAGGCATTGGTTGTATTTTAAAACACGCACAAATCTTAAGGCAGTGTCTAAAAATTGTACAGATGATGTCAGTCCAGGTTTTCCGACCTTGCTAAGGGTAAGGGTACATTTGTCACAGTGAGCCAGAGGAAAGCAAGGTTTACCATCTTCCTGTCTGCCGTGTAGCAGCCCTTTCCTTTTCCATTTACACCCTGACCAGGAATCACGGCAATTTTCCCTCATGCACTTGGGACCATTTTCTAGTTAATATAACTTTCTCTTAAATTATGCTAAATTAGAAAATGATTGATTCATTTTCTAAGAGTATAGGCTCTCTATTTAACTAAAAGCAAATACAAATGTTTTCACTTTTAAAGAAAACGAATCCCCTAAAGCAGATTTCTTAAATCTAATTATTGTATTGGGAAATATTAATTACTAAAATATCATACTTTAACATATATATTAACTATTTTCTCACCTGGATATACCTAAATTCTGGAATGTTTACTTTACTAGGTTAAAATCTCAATCTCATTAAGAATCTAATTCACTCCACAAAAAGTTTACTATCTGGAATATAAAACTGGATATGTAATATATAAATATTATATATAATAATAATATATACTATATAAAATTATATAATATATAAATATTCAGATGTTGTCTGAATCCAGAGCCTGTTAGCGTCTGAGCAGCTACACTTGCTTCATTTATTTAAAACATTGGAGGCTTTAAAGGTGATCTAAAACATGGAGGAATGATGGCAGTTGGACTCATTGATCTCTGCCTTTTGAAAGTAATAATCACGGGGCCTGCCCAGTGGCGCAAGCGGTTAAGTGCACGGGCTCCGCTTTGGCGGCCCAGGGTTTGCAGGTTCAGATCCTGGGCCCGCACTGATGGACCACTTGTTAAGCCATGCTGTGGGGGCATCCCATATAAAGTAGAGGAAGGTGGGCACGAATGTTAGCGCAGGGCTGGTCTTCCTCAGCAAAAAAGAGGAGGATTGGCATCGGATGTTAGGTCGGGGCTGATCTTGCTCACACACACACAAAAATAATAAGAATAATAATCACAACAATACAGTGCTCTGAAGGGTCTTATTTGCCTGAAGTTTTATCCTCTTCTCCCTCTCTCCAGTCCAGAAGGATTCAAGATTGGGCTTTAAGATAGTATTTTTTGTTGCAATGACACTTTTCTTTTTAGGACTTTCAGTTCTTTTCCTGAGTCACTTACCCATCACTTGTACGTGGGAACTAGCTTATTTTGCAGACATGTTTGACCCTTGAAAGTGAGGATTGGGGATTTTGAGATCTTTTTTTCTGGGGTCACAAAACTTAGTAGCACTAAGGATAAAAGAAAGATTTCTTCTATGCTAACCCTGTTCTCCACCCACAGAATGTTGCTCAAATGGAATGTTATGTGAAAATTTAAAGGTCCTGTTTTTATTGTATTTCAGAAGTATTCCTACAATATCATCTCATCTGAATTTTGTTGAGTTTGCGTTTGTTTTCTTGCTCTTTACTTCAGAAGGAAAAGGAGAGCCTAAATGAAGAATTACATGAATTGAAGAAAGAAAATAAGCTTTTGAAGGAAAAAAATGCTCTCGCAAACAAGAAGAAGGAACATTATGAATGTGAAATAAAACGCCTCAATAAGGTAAGGTATCAGGCTGGGTCAAGCTGGGAAATCCAGGGAGAGGGCCGTGTATGAAGAGCACGTTCCTGATTGGGAGTCAGGACACAGTCTACACTGCAGTGTGTTCCTGGGCCTAGGGGCTTGCATGGGAGCTTCTCTGTAATTTTATAAATGACTCCTGTCTGCATCTTTCAGCCGTACTTGGCTAAGGAGGCTTTAGGGAATTCATGTCCCTGCAAAGAATTATCATGAAAAAGAGAAACGAGGAGAAATTATAGAAGACAGCAACAACATTTTTTTAGTTCGAAGAACCGCATAAAGCAAGTGGGTGTTTTCGAACAATAGCGTATCTCTTGGTCAACCACAGAAGTTTCCTGAGGAAACAGGCTGCTCTTTAAAATCGTCACTGTGGAGCTGGGTGTGATGCAAACTCTATGGAAGCATGCTAAATGCCAACCCCAAGGCTGAGATGGCCGCCTTCCTGAGAATAAGCCTAAAACTCACTTCTAATGGGGGGAGAGGGGGGCGGTGGCGGGGCGGGGAGTAGATCTATTAGGAAAATGCGAGTGGTTTAATGCCTTTGCTCCAATTTAACCATTCAAAGCGGCTACCCGTGCATTGCTGCAAAAGGATGATGCATGAGTGTCTGTGTGTGTGCACGTGTGTCTGTGTTGTTTTATGGACTAATAGCTTAATTTTCTGGGGGAAAGGATCACTGACTTGTTCAGGGTAAAAATGAAATCCTTGGCTGTTGACTTTTCCAAGAGCCATATCATAGGTGGCCCATTGGAATAGTTGTAGCATATGGTTGAGTCGAGATAGGCATCTCTCAAGCCGGATATTTCTCAACCAAAGTCACAGAAATTGTCTTCTAAAACAAGAGTAGGTGATTGGCCTTGGAAACGTGCTCAACTCCTGTATTTTGGACTGTGCCATGTTGTAGTTAACTGGTGTTCAGAAGTGTCATTTAAAGATCCCCGAAGTGTTATGTATGTGCCTGTATAGTCGACAGGGTGCTTTACAAATGCAATGCTATATTTGATTTGTTTGTGGGGCAAGTTATTCAGGAGAGAATGGGAAATTGGAGATTGACTTTATAAACAATGTACTTCTCTATCCTCTCAGAGAGAAAAACAATGTTTAGAGACACAAATTCGGGGCAAATGAATTTTCCCTTTTATTCTCTGCTGGAAATCCTCCACAAATGAATTAGAGGAATGAACATTAATTGAGATATTTGAAATCTCTCTCATTTTTGATATATGATTTGATAAGTAGTCTTCTATTCTCTAATTTACTTCTCTGAATGCAGGCACAGGGATATAAAAAATTATATAGAAATTAGAACAGCCAACAACTCTGGTTTTTGCTCATGTCCACGTGCACCCTTCATTTTTGTGTATCTGTATTTATAGTTAGCAGAAATTTTTTAAAAGTTAGTAAAAATTTTGTAACTCTTGTGATTATAATCGTAAAATCTCATTAAGAAAAAATAATTTGAGCAAAATTCAGATCTTTATACAAGTGTAACCTTCTCAAAGAGGATTTTTCTGGGTATCCTAATTAAAATTACATGCCTCTAGTATTTCTTTTTTTAATTTTTCCTTGAAATTTATTGCTATATATGTTTAATGTCTCATATTTATTATCTTATTTATTTCCTGTCTCTCAATCTTGATTGTAAGCTTTCATGAGGATAGGATTTTTGCAGAGCCAACTTCTTTGTTAGGAATTATAGGCACAGTGTTGAGGGCCCATTAACATGTTTCATTTCTCTTAAAATTAGAAGAAAAAAATGAACTTTGAGGTTGAAAAAACATTTGTGGGGTTGGCCCCATGGCCTAGTGGTTAAGTTCAGCGTGCTCCACTTCGACAGCCTGGGTTCAGTTCCCAGGCGCGAGCCTATACCACTCACTGGCAGCTGTGCTGTGGCAGCGACCCACATACAAAATAGAGGAAGATTGGCACAGATGTTAGCTCAGGGCAAATCTTCCTCAAGCAAAAAGAGGAAGATTGGCACAGGTGTTAGCTCAGGGTGAATTTTCCTCAGCAAAAAAAAAAGTTGTTTTCATATTAATATTAAGGTATCCGTCTTTCTAAGAACACAGTTATAAAATATAATTTTCATATATATTTATTTGAAGGAAGGGACTCACAAAGACAGCTGTCATATGTGTCCCTGAGTTTTTCTATTTTGTTCACTGCTGCATTCTGAGTGCCTAGAATAGGGCCCTGTTCATAGTATGTTCTTAAATATTTGTTGAATGGCTGAATTAATTACTTAATTAAATTAGCTAGTCCATAGTATGTTCGATAGTCAATTTTGGCCCTGAGATTCATGCTTTAACAGGCATAACACATTACTTATGAGTAATGAGGGAAAATAAAAGAGTGGTTCAAGCCAGAAAAGATTTCATCTTACATATCTATACCTTAAACCGTCGCTTAAAAAACATTGATATAAAGTGATGAGCTATGAAAAGAGTTTTTTTTATTATTTAGCTCATGTATTAGTGTCTAATGAAATGTGAGAAATTGTTATTCTATTTTATAATGTAGATTTTTCTTTTCTTTTCTTTCTTACCACTGTAATAAATAGAAGTTATTCAAAAGGTTGATTTGGGTAGCTGATTGTGCACACTATCCATCATAGCATGGAATTTTGGGCCCACTCTACTTGTACAAGTGGACTGCCTGCTGACCCATTCCCTCAGCAGAAATTTGTAACATGTCAGTTTAGTAATTAACATATGGTTCTCAGAAGTTCATACAACTGTGTGTACTCAATTCAACTTATTTGCCTTGAAGGAAATACCCAAGGGCACTGTTTTCATCAAGTTCTTGAAGAGAAGCCAGATGTTTAAACCAAAGTCAGATAAATTACCTGAGGCTAGTCAGCCAGTGCCACCCATGGGCAAAAGTAATTTGTCTGACATCTCACCATTGTGAGATGGGTAGATCTGTTCAACATATCTGTGCTGATGGTAATTTACTATTCTAGAATAGGTTACAGGTGTTTGTTCAAGGAAATTGGAAAACCCCAAGATGGAATGAATGTCTATTAGACTCACCTTTCATTTATGACTCATTTGCAAAATTTCTAGAAGCCTGAATAGCATGAAAGGTATACCAGGAAATTCAAATATAACAAGACCCACAAAAATAGTCTATTCATAGGTATAGGATACAGAACGAGCATATTTAATTGTCTTGACTCATTTGGCTTCCCCACCCTAGATTCTCTCTACTACTACTTACACATTTTTAAAAATTATAACCATTATGATACTTTCTATACCTATACAGCTTAGCAACAAATTCTAACAAAAGGTAAATTATTAAACAACTTTTGTTGTTTCTTTAAATTCTTCTTGGAGGAAGAAAAAAGTTCTTGTTTCTCTTACACAACTTCCTGAAAAATAATATTTACATCAGGCTAGACAGTATCCAGAGACTGTAAGACATTCTATCAGGAAATTTCTAGTCCGTCTACACATATTTAAGACCATAAATTTGTTTTTATTTTCCTACTTTTATGAACACATTGTATAGTAATGCAAGGAAGTGAGTTACTAATAGTATCATCAAATGGACATCATTGAAGCTGCTAAAGAAATAGTCCCAGAGGAAGTGAGTTCTTGGAGCTCTGAAAGTGATCCTTTTCTATTTGTATAGAGACTCATTTGATAATGAGCAAGTAGTCATACTGGGTGCAGCTCTGAGACCACACCAGTATGAGGTGGGTAGTGTCACAGTTTTTGGCAGTCATTTTATTGAACTCATCATGAACCAAGGTCTTCAGAAGAGAGTAAATGTCTTTTATATGATCTGACAAAGTATAGCATATATAAGAGCATCATGGGCTGATGAGTAAGGATGATAATCTTGTTGGCAAATCTAAGTGTCTCTTGTTTCCTTCACCTCCTCACCTCATAATGAACACACCAAGTTGCACCAGATGTCAAGAAAGCAGAGCACTCTTTCCACCCTGTATCAAGTTAATGGATGTTTTACTGGAGAATAAATAAGACTGTAGCTGGGCCAGGGCATGGAATGGTGAGGAGGACAGGGCAAAAGAGCAGCAGTACAGTGGCTTTAATGGATAGTGAATCTTCATGGGTTCACACTTCTTTGGGTTCCCCTCTCCTATTGGGGGTGTAGTTTTATAGCAAAATATTACTCAAAATGTCATCTGGGACCAGCAGCATCCGCATTTAAGAAATGCAGATTCTCAGACCTTATCCCCAGATCTACTGATTGAGGATCTCTGGGGCACTGTCCAGGGATGGGCATGTTTTCTACCTCTCCAGGTGATTCTAATGCTCCCTAAAATTTGAGCATTATTGATAGAGTATATATTTGGTTGAAGCGGAGAATCTGAAGAAAGGCTATAGATATGTTTCCTTTCGTGGTTGGCTAGGTGGAGGGGGCTCTGACATCAAAAGCCCTCCTAAATAACAATGGGAGTTAAATAACATAAGCATCATCGTGGAGAAAAGAGATTCTGCCAAAAAAATACATATATCCTAGAAAATCAGAAAGAAGAAAGTTATTCAGTCATGAAAGTAGCATTAAAAATGAAATTTTGCCTTGCAGGTGTGTTTGAGATGATTGCAAGAATTATAGAGGAATTCATATGATGTGGTAACTCTTAAATCAACTATGTGCTTATCTTATAACATAGGCTCTTCAGGATGCCTTGAAAATCGAGTGTTCTTCATTTCCTGAGGACTGTTTGGGAAAGTCTGAAATGGAGTGCTGCCATGAGGAGATGAGAACAGAAATGGAAGTTCTTAAACAGCAGGTGAGAAGTTGAAAGTGGCATGATCACGTGGAGAACGTAGAGCCCACTGTTCATAAGACTTTGGACATTTTGGAAGCCTTGCTATTCAAAATACGTAACAGGTTTTTGCATTTATTTTCATTAGAATTATCTAATTTTAAAGATTGATGGGAGAATATAGATTAGCTAGCCTAACTCACACTTTACAAAAGAGGGAATTGAGTTTCAGATGGGTTAAATGTCTTGCCCAAGATCATACAGTTAAAAGAAGGGCCATACTAATTAACCTTTTGGTAAGATTCTATTAGCACTGGGTCTAGAGAGTTTCATATAGACATGATTTATTTTGGAAACACTATTAACCCAAACTCTGGACCTTTTCAGAAAATGGTAGCAGCCAGGCTGGTATTCTGCAGCTGCTGGCCTCCAGGCTTCTGAACAATGAGGGCAGTTTTAAAGGGAACACTCTGCATTGCTCATAATCACTGAAGAGCCAGATCTGTTCATCTACCCCACATATGGATGGCACCACCTAGCAATTTACTGATGCACAATGGTTTCCTCCTCCCCACTCACTCTGTCTCACTCACTGATGTCAAGTGAACAGCGAGAGTAAAGGATGCCTTCTGTTAGCTTCTGCATGTATTAGCAGCACAGGGCTGTGGGGATAGAGTGCTGCCTAAATTATTTGAGTCTAAATTTAGTTCAGCCAGCTCTGGAGCTGGCTTAGCTGAGGGGCCACCCATGCATATTACATCTCTTTTCCTGTGAGAGGTTAAATAAACTAATGTAGGTAAAGGGCTGGAACAGTTCACGGTAAAATCAATAAATACAGACTATCTGTAAGAATTCCAATCCCTGAAGCACATATTGTCATTAATACATTAGCAATGGACGTGAGGATGTCATAGAACAAAGGGCTGGGAAGGATTATTTCTCTGATGTCCCTGGGTGTGATTCGTTGGCTGTTTTGCTCTGAACAAGTGCCAATTACAAGGATTCTTGATGCAATACACAGAAGAATTGAGCAATTGTGATACTGTTGTTGTTATTTACTTTATTGTTGTTACTTCATAGGAAATAGCCTATCTGTAAATCTAAAAAATTCAGAGCACTTGATGGTAAAGTTGGATTTTCTCTTTCTATCAACCCCATTTGAATAATCAGCTTCATTACATTCACGATCAAATATATAGCTTAAAAATAAACCCATGAAGAGAAGAGGGTAGTACTCAGAATGTTAAGGCTTTGCCAAATTCTCAACCCCTAAAGTACCATTGACACTAGCCAGGATTCCTCTGAAAAAAAGCACTGCTTATGTTCAGACACTTGAATCATCTTCGATGCTCTCATATACTGTACACCACATGTGAGAGAGTCACTCTTACACATGGAGTTTATGCTAATGGTTTAGTTCATATTTGATACAGACAATGACAGGTGTTCTTCTTTTCATAACTCCCAAGAGTAGACCAGAACCCACCTCCTTAGTGTCTGTGTGGCTCTTTTGCTAACTTCCTGCGTACACATTTTAACTGCACACATTTTTAATTGGGCACCCACAATCAGTACCTCACCAAGTGCCACGTGAAACACTAAAGGATTTAAATTTACAAGGAAACTGAGCTAGATTCTTGGCCACCTCACTAAAGTGACGCCATCGCTATCAGTGTTGTGTTTGATAAAGTGTTCCGTTCTGATCAGGTGGCTTCTCCCATTTCAAATGCCTCTGGTAATTGTTTACAGAGCATTAGGTTAACTGTGTCTAAAATTGAACCTCAGCTCTTAACCAAAAAAAACCCAAAAACAAAATGCCCGCTTGGCTGGGTTTAGTTCCCTTACAATGTTTCTGGTGAATAAAGCCTGAAAATTAAATATTTATATCTACATCTAGATCTATATCAAATGTTTCATTTCTTCCTCTCTTGCCTATTATATTTTGTTCTATTATTATTGACTTAAAATTGATAAACCTCTAGTTAAAATTTGTTGCACTGTGGGTGGTGACAGCGCAACATGCATTAGTATGAGTAGACAAAAATCCAGCTACTAGGTTCCAAAGTAAGTTGTAATTTAAATCATGGTTTTAGAGAAATTCCTTTGCTTCATTCCCTAAGTTTCACTTGTTTTCACAGCTCCACATACTAGTCTCCAAGCCATCAGTCAACACTATGCCAATTAAAAACAACAATGATTAAATCTGTTTTTCTGTTTGGTTTGATTACTTTTCTGGAATATTTGGAGTACCTCTCAAGAGGCATTCCACTAAAATATTACTCTTTTTTTTTAATGATATACTCCAAAATTACTTGCAAAGGGCAATACTTGTGAATACTTTTAACAATCATGTTTTGCTTTTTCACATACATGAGCCTTTCATTTCTATTTTTTGTTCAACTTATAATTTATATTTGGAAACCTTGGCATGTCAATATTTAGCGGCTTCACTTAACAGCTGTTGTCAGTGAACTATCTTTTAGATCTTCAAGCAGTATTCATATATCAAAGTCTTCTTTTGGGGATGAATAATTTGCTCCAAAACAGTGATATTGAACACTAAGACAGAGTCATCATGGTAATGGAATATACAGCAGAATAATTGGTGAAGGGAATTTTTTTCAAAATAGCCGTATTATTACTTTACTTCCGAATCCCTGGTACATGCTTAAGGGGGAAAAAGCTGAGAACTGCCATTCTAAGCAAAGCGAAAGATAAAATTATAGTCATATATATCAGGATGGAGTCCCACCAAGAAGACATATTTGTGAAAAGAGGATAGGAATGCCTCAGATTGGACAAGCCTGCATAGCGCCTCTTCTGAAATCCTTTGGGTGACTAAAGAGAAAAGGAAGCTAACAGTAACAGCAAGTTAATATTTCCTAGGTGCAAATATACGAAGAAGACTTCAGAAAGGAGCGATCAGACCGAGAAAGACTCAATCAGGAAAAAGAGGAGCTACAGCAAATTAATAAAACTTCTCAATCCCAGTTGAACAAGCTGAATTCTCAGGTATAAGTCAAAACAAAATCATCTTTACCAGCACATGTGTATTTTATTTTTATTTTCTCATTTAAGAAAAATCAAAACTTTTTGGCTTCTGTTAATTGACATTGGATGTTTTTTAAGAGGTTGGCACCTGGGATGAAATCATTCTTAAACAATCTTGTAAGGAGATGAAAATGACTGGAGATTTCTTTTAACTTAAGTATATTAAGTAGTTACACAAGAAATTGGATTCCAAAGTCTTTTATAAAATCCAATTCTTTTGATCTTTTTCTCATAATATTTATCTTGGTGGAATGGGAGCTACCTTGTACTCAAATTCAAGACCGAAACACTCCAGTACAGTGAAATTGTTTCTAAATTCTTGTCATTTTCTTTGAAGGTCTATGTTGGCATGTTCCTGTCTTCTAAAAACACACATATTTCTAAACGTCATTTATATATCTAGTGAACCCAAGAATTTTGTTCAGTGGGTTCCAAGATTTAATGTTACTGGAGCACTCTCTGGGAAGCCAGATAATGTTAGCCAGTTTATTGACATAGAATATATTAAATGTAAGCACACTAAAATTATGTGTAATAGAATGTTTTAAAAGTGGACTCAGGAAGTTGCCGTGACGGATAAATATTGATGTTAATGAGAAAAATGTAGCTAACACAATTTTGGCTTAAGAAAAGAAAATGAACCACAAAATGTTTGATTTGAAAAATCATGCAAAGCTTTTCAGTAAGGAGGAAATTGTTGTGGGACATGCTGTGACAGCCCTGTAGCTTCAAGATTCTTAGTCTTAAAAAAGAAATTTTAAACTATTTGTCCTCCTCTTCTTCCTAATACAAAGTAGATTTTGAATTAAATTTAATTTCTTCTCTGACATTTTTTTCAAGGATTAACTTGAAATTCCTAATTTTACATGGAAAAATTATTTGGCAGAACCATTTCCTTTCTAAGAAATTGGAAGGAATAAATTAGTGGTAAAAATATAATAAAATGCTTTTCTGAAAATAATTCATGCAACCTACTTTATATAACAATGGGTAAGAAAATGTTCTGATTACTCTTGGTGAGGAAATTACTCTTTCAATTTTTCTGTCTTACATGCAAAGCCACCTTCTTTTCTTTTAAGTTGTCACTACAGAAATTATTTTACTTCCTGCCATATTTTAATTTTATTTTTTCTATTACATTAAGCTCAAATTGATGATAAATCGTGTTTAACATTGGCAGTGTCCTTGCCATTATAGAAGTTTTAGCAGAGCCAGGAATACATAACCATCTGCTTATGTTGTAGACTATAATCCACAAGTAATTTTCATTCCTATGTCATCTGTAAAGTAATTTTTAATTGATATCGACAAAATAAATGTACTGTCTAAGTACACTGTGGTCGAACTGTGCTTATAAACTAAGGGATGGTCTTGGTGATAGCTTAAAACTATCAAAATTTTCTTTAAAGTAATGATAGTCCAAACATTTATTTTTCAAAAGTCTCATTCACTATGGTAAAAGGATGACAGAATTCACAAAAAGATGTAGTAGGTGGTATAACAATCTGTGCTAAATGTATTAACAACAGATTAAATGCCATGATATAGTAGAACTGGCATTACCTTATTTAAATAGCATATTATCTGTGGTCCAGATGGACCATTTGACCAAAAAGGAATTTTTAGGTCACATCATTCTGGCACTAGTTGCTTACATACCAGAGTTTATTCATCACTCTTCTATCACTGAAGACATTTTAAGTCAATGATTTGTAAAATAGGCAGTGTGGGACAAGTAAAAAATAATTATGGATACTTAGAAGTAGGATTAAGGGGTAAAAATCCCCTTCGTGCCTGCTTTGACGATCGGTGATGACCTTGAGATGCCTTAAGAAAGTAATTCAGCTTTTATGTGCTTCCTCTTCTTTATCTGTAAAAGGACAAAGTTGGACTAGATGATCTCTAAAATCTTTCTTATACCTCTCAAACCTGTGTCTCTAAAATAAGTAACCCAACCTCTCTCAGTGTACTCCCCTGTAAATGTAGATAATGATACCTTCCTCATGACTCCACGAAGTTGTTCTCAGGGTTGAGCGAAAAGAATCCATACAAAAGCGTCTAGCTCAGGCCATGGCTCACAGGTATTTCATGAATGATTTTAGTCTGTTGGAAGGGGAAATTTTTAACAGTTTCATTTAGCTGTATCAGCAGCACGCCACATTCAGTTCCTTGTAAGCAAATTTTGATACTTTCTTTCTGCAAGGCATTCCGCTATGTGCCGTGAGGGGATAAGAAAATGATCCTTGCTATCCTCGTTTCAGCTCTCATACTGTAAAAAGTGTCCTTTTTATGGTCTATTTAGTCCCTTGTTTTTGCATTTTTGTGCTTTTTGTTGGTGATTTCGTTGTTTAAAATGATCCCCCAGCATAGTGCTGAAGTGCTGTCTAGTGTTCCTAAGCACAGGAAGGCTGTGATGTGCCTGACAGAGACATGTGTTAGATAAGCTTCATTCAGGGATGAATATAGTGCTATTGGGCATGAGTTCAATGTTAATAGATCAGCAATATATGTTAATAAGGTGTATTTAACAGAAACACACATAAAATAAGATTATGTATTGATTTGTTCACAAAAATGGAATGACCAGAGGCTCGTAGGAACCAAACCCTGCATTTCCCTTGGAGCAGTGGTTCAGGATTCACTATTTCAGTGTTCACGGTGACTTTATAGAACAGAACTTCCACAAATAATGAGAAATGACTGTACATAGTACACACTGGACTATAAAAAGTCACATAGTAAATGTATAAAGCTGAATGGGAGGACCAAGGAAGGAGAGAATAATTCTGATAGGTGGGACTTGGTGAGGTATCACATAGGAGGGGACAGTTGACCATGCCAGATAGGGTGTGGGACATGGCGTGTGGGGATGACAATAACATGACTGAAGAGTCAAAGAATAACCAGCTTTCTGTAGGTGTGTCAGATGCTGAGGGAACCCAGGGTGGGTGACTCTGCTTGATGAGGTTGGGCCTTCAGTAGTGAGAAGCCATAAAGTATAGCAGTGTGACTCTGAACAAGTTACTCAGCATCTCATGTCTCAGTGTCCTCATCTGTAAAATAGGGATAATAATATTAAGTATCACATAGGGGTGTGGGGAGGATTCAGTGAGTTATTATACGTAAAGCACTTAAATCAGTGTCTGGCATATATTAAGTACATACAAAACTTCTGAAATTTATTGTGGAAGCCTTTGAATGTACAGCTGACCAATTCCAATTACATTCGATAAGCAGTAGAAGCTGTTTCTGTATCTATATCTATGCCTATGTCTATGTCTATGTCTATATCTAAATATATCAACTTAAAACGGAGAATTATAGTGGCCCCAACAAGTTGGAATAACAGTTTAAAACTATCCAACTTTCCAAACTTTATTTGGGAATTTCAAGACAGAACCAATGTGTGTCTGTAAAATCCCGAGCTTGACTGTTTTTGTTGGCATTATTGCTATCAGTGCTGCACCCCTTGGGCTTCTGAGGAAGTCACTGACAGCTGAGTCAAGGGTAGCTTTAGAACTAACCATTTGAACTCTTTTTGATAAACAAATGCTTTTGTTTTGTCTGCAGATAAAAGCTTGTCAGATGGAGAAAGAAAAACTAGAAAAGCAATTAAAACAGGTACGTTGATCCTTACCTAAATTCACCAAGCCCTCTTGCCATGGTTAGAAATGGCAACTTTAAGTTCTACCCACGCATTTATTCCCAAGTATGACAGTTCCTTATGGTCCCAGCTAAAGGCATATTCAAGCTCTGCTACAGATGGCCTGGAATAACCCATGCTTTTCATTACCGACTAAAACGTCAGTGGATCAATAGCACTTAGGAGCCACCAAGGCCTCTCGACCCTAACGCTCATGAAAAACACCTGCTTTACAGAACATGTCACCTTAGTGTATGTTCACGCAAATGGAGATTTCATCATAGACCCACAAACACCTGGGAAATACATTTCCTTGGTATTTCTCGCAGTTGCTTACACAATTTACAGTGGAAACTACGTCAAAGATGTTTGCCTCTTTTGAGAATATACAATACCTTCTTGGGCACTGAAACATTCTATCCCACTGGTTCTCTAGTGGCCTTAAGGAATGAATTTTCTTTCTCTTAATTCCTAATTTCCTCTCAGGACTTTAGTTATGCCGCAGGAGTCTGGCTACAATTTAAGAAACGTATTTTATGGCTCAGTGGCTGGTTCTTCTTAAATGAGGACCCTCTGTGAAGATAACTTAGAAACATAAACTTAACTCTATATACCTTTCAATGTTTCTAATTTCTTCAAAATGGAAAAATAATTGTAGTTTCACCTTAAGTAAAATTTGGCCTGTGAGCCCCATCTGTATCTGTCCAGAGTCTACATTAGCATGCCTACTATTTTGAGTTAGGATTATGCCAGATTTAGGCTCAACCTTAATGTTGAAACCAACACTTTGGGTTGTATAAAGCAAGTGTCAGAGTGTCTCCCCAATTTCACCCACTTCCAGTGAACCAACAGTCTTGTTCTCCTCAGATATATTTCCCAACCTGTAACTGCGGCTTGGGTTTCCACCTGCGGGATCCATGTGTACCAACCGGTCCCAGAGCTGTGCAGGATCAACAGAAGCACCCAGTAAGTAAGAACTGGCATTTCAACAAATAAGTGCTTAGTATTCTCTTTTGGTAGAAATTATCTCTGTTATTCTGGAATTTTGGCATATAATATTGTCTACAGAAAGAGCCTGTATTTCACGTCAGCCTCTAGTTTGTGGTTACAGTGGTCAATGTATGCCATAATTATCTTGGGGACACTATATTCACAAGATACAGAGATATGAATAAATTAACTGAAAGGTATCAAATTGAGCTATGATTCCTTGAATGAACATAAAACATTTTATATGGGTCATTTTTAGTGACACACCTGACTCTACCAAAAGGATATTTTTGTGTATAAAGAAAAGCAAAGTGAATCTAGTGGAACAGTCTGGGAGATGCCTTTTTCAGTTGTAAATTTATATTGAACTACTATGGATATCGCTACATCTGTGCAAAATAGTTTTTGACGTTTTCCAATTGAAAGGATATTCTTAAAGGATCCAAGAAAAAGTGACCCACTTAAGTTACTCTCCATGGCTGTGTCTACCCAGGAAAAATGAAATGAACAGTGGAGCAATTATTTGTGAGTGGAATTGATTTGGACAGTCAACCTGAAAAAAGTCAGACCGAAAGCACCCTTCCCTTCCTTCTCAATAGCAGTATTCCACCCTCCCCCATGGTCTGGATGCTTGTCTCCACTGTTTTGCCTACATAGACAGAATCTTTATATAGGAAAAAAAATTATGCATTTTTCTGCATTTTGGATTTGCTCAGACAACTCCCCTCTCCCTTAATTTTTATTAACTGTGTTTCTAATTATGCAAAGAATCTGAGATTTTAACTGGAATTTTCTCAGCAGAGCATTTATGGAGAGTGTGATTCTCTCGGTTGCCTGAAACTTCTCATACTTTTGTATTTGAGTGTGACTCAAAGCCCTTCTCCAGGGGAGGAGATAATGTCTCTTTGGGTGGCAGAAAGATGTCAGAATTTAATGAGCTTCTCTTATTTGACCCTAGTATGACACAGCCTGCTGCAGAGAATTTGGTTCTTTTTGTGTTGTTGCTGGTTACTACTGTCTGCTCTCTCTCCCCCATTTGTTTTTCTTTACCTGTTTGCTTACTTTTCAGTCTTCACCAGAAACAATTCTGGGAATCTCCAAACACAGTTATCATTCCTTAAAATTTTTTTTTTCAGAATGTAGAAGTAAATTAAGATTATGAGAAACATAAAGAGATAGATATTTACTTAGGAGTTAGCTCCTACAGGTTGGGGAATTAGAGAAATAGTCTTGTGAGAGGTTGACTAGAAAACCAATGAGTCATTCAAGTTTATCTAGAAGTAAAAATAACTGTTTTCTTCAAATCTTCATTTATGGAAAGAAGGCAGAAATTTGCCTACTATAAAAGCTCATCAGACTTGCCCTATCAGTTATAAGATCATGTGAAATTATCACCAAATAGAAGTCTGTATTTGAAAAAAGATTCCAAGCCATGTATAATAGCCTACATTTTCAAGCAGTATACAGTTAAACAAAATCTCCATGTAACAAGAGAATTTACAAAAACTCCCAGAGTTAATTTAAAAGAATATTTCATGTTTCATGCTTATTTCTAAGGCTGAATGCAAGCACATGCAATAGTGTCTATAAAATTACAGTATTTTCACCGTCTTTTGGCAACTCTCCTGGAATATAAAACTGAGGCTCACGTCACTTATCCTATGTGTTATTTGAGACATCTAAAAATAAACGAGGAGATAAAAAACAGAGGTGATCTCATTTCCTCTTTTAACTTTTCATGGACCAAAAGGAGCCAAGAGCCTAGGTGTCTGAGTCGGGTAAAGTGGGGTCAGGCTGTACTAAAGCAGCCTCTCTTGGTGTCTTGTCGGGTAATGGAACTTGGGGGAACTTGGGGGGACTCTCAGTGGTCTAGCGGGTCTACAGGGGTACATGCTCCCTATTGGCTCATTGTCAGAGAAATTTTCCCTGAGTTATTTTCAGGCGGTAATTGAATCATAGAACAAAAAGTCTATATTCTCTGTCTTGGGGACAAGTAGGAAGCCGGGGTGAGCATTTGGAACAGGAAGACCGCCTACCTCATGGGCAGGTAAAGCTGGAATTGCTCCTTTCCAAGTGGTTAGATGCAAAGATACTGGCCTTGGAACTGTATCTTGAAATCTAGGTCTATAGATTAAGATTTATTCAATGCAGTGTGTGTGACATGTTCCCTGATGTTCAGTATCTAGTTGTTCTTGCTGGCGTAAACCTAGGAGAAAATCCCATGAGAAAAATCCAGTCTGCCTTGTGCTTTCACTGACTCTCTAGTCTAAACTATCTGAGCAATTGTGAGACGAGTTTCTGCAGCGGCACAGCACCAAGGGGAAGGTCTGGCTTAGATATCTTCCTTAAACCACCAGAAAACATTCAACTTGTAATTTTTTTCCTGGTCTTCCTGTTGCCTCCTGTGTGAGGGTTTTAAAAAGAGTATTTGTTGATGGTAAATTGCTTTGTTTTATTTATGGGCTATAGTAAGTTTCACAAAAGTGTTTATACTTCTGCAGATATCCAGAACACATCTGTTTCACAAAAAAGAAAATATGCCACAACCCCAAAGTAGTGGAAATTCTGGCCAAACACATAGCAGATTGAGGAGGGGGGTAGGGAGATGGTAATAATGATGAGGGAGGTAAGAGAGATGAGCAAGATTGGCAGCAGGTTTGAATAGAAACTACTTTTGTGTTGCCTGGGTACTAAAAGCCACAGAGTACAATTATATTGTTAATGTGCCACCATGTTGTGTTTGAAGTCTGTATTGCTATAATAATGTTTTACTGTTCCACACAGCCAGAGTATCAGTGGTATGCTCCTGACCAGTTTCCGCCAGATGTGCAGCAGAAGGCAAATGGTAAGACCACAGCTGTATCGAGCATTCTTTCATGTTTACATTTTAATGGGATCTTTTGGGGAAGTTTATTCAACATACATTCATTCGTACTCAGGGAGGACCTACTATAATTTGCATACACAGTTCTAATTTGATGCACATGGGGTTAAACTGAGCTCCTTAGGAAGAAGAAAAAATGTTCGAATGCAGAAATGCATGAATCTCAGTTCTTGCTTCTGTTCCTATACCAGCCTCAGAGTCAGTATTCCATCTGGGGTTAGAAATGAAAACTTTAAGCAGAGCTGTGTTATAACAACAACAACAAAGCTCTGGGATTCTACTACAAAGGACAGATGCACAGTCACTGTCCCAGGTGGAGTTTGCTAGACAGATGTTTTAAATGTCACTGGCAGACAGACAGAGGAAACCAAAGGCTCAGAACTGTGTTCCCTAATGACTAAATGTAGACTCCAAGTTCAGGCCAGGGTTGCCCACAACACCCACCTCCAAGTACGCTGGGAAAAACTAAAAAGTCACCTATGTAAAGTACTCATGATTAAGAGTACTCTTTTATTTTATTTTTCTTTGGTTTAGCATTCTCCTCCTTCTTTCCAGGATCTGCTATACTTTCTACTGCTTGTTTCTGTGGTCTCATGAGGCCACCCAGGAATGGGCTGTATAAACTGGGCTATAATCATAATCCCACTTCTATTTTCATCACCGATAGTCAGAAGTCAGCAATGTCTGCTACATGTTTAAAAATCTTGTGTGACCCTCACCTGTGACTCTAAGTTGTTAATATCCGGAGATCTGAATCTATCTAGAAAAGCTGAAGATGAGCCACATTCCACTTTCAGGCCATACTTGAAATTTGATCTCATTTAGTTCAGATCTGAGATCACAGAATTCTAGTTTTTAGTACAAGGAGTCCATTATGGAGTGGAAGTACGGAACCAGGGATAATACATGTAGTTTTGCAGGTTGTGAACTTCATAAGTTCAAGAGGGTCTTCATGGTAGTCTATGTAAATGGAGCCTCCTAGAGTTGTACAGTACACAACCTGGACAGCTGTACATGGCAGCACTGGGAGTGGCAAAGTCTATAGCTTACAGTAGCATCATAAAGAATAAAGATAAAAAGTGAGAACTCTGTAATAAAATGTCTAGGTATTTATCAGAAAACTATAGGATTTGTTTTTTCTTTTGTTGGTCTGGAATGAATATCAAAGATATTTTCTCCCTGAGATGGAATTTAATCACTAGAAAATACAATTACTCAGTAGAGAATTCAGTAATATCATAAGGCCATTATATATCACTATTGGATTCTACCTGAACCAGTGTTACAGAAGCTAATCATTACATAAAATAGAAATGAATTGTGATGACCTTCAGAAACTAAATAAAATATGCAAAAATAGAATTTTATATTCAATGTATAAGATCTACTGATTTTTGTCTACTTAGGGAGAAATATAATGAGCTTTGTGATGTATAAACATGCTGTGTGATAGTGTCTACAGATGAATAATCCCAATAAAAAATGGACCTTTAATATGTACTAACGTAAATATTTTTAAAGCATTGTTTTAATCTTCACAACAATGCTATAGAGTAGGCTTTATTCTTATAGTATTTTACAGATGAGGAGACAGAGGCTTGAGAATTTAAGTATTTCCTGAATCCTACAGTTACTAAGATTTAGCCTGGGGGTTAGATTCAGATGCACAAGACTCCAAAACCTGTGCTTTGAGTCGCATCTTATAGCAAAAATACCCCACTTACTATATTAAAATTTTCTGAAATTATAGATATAAAAATGAGAATGAGAGAGCTTTAACTTGTAATTATATGACTAGTATCTAACCCTCAATAATTTCTCCTTCCTATGAACTCATAACATTTATTATCTGTGCTACTCACTTGACGTTTAGAACATGACAGGGAAAAGGCACAGGGCTATGTAAGAATAAGTATGTAATAAATATGTTGTGAACTAATCTATGCTTGGGCAGCCCTGGTGGTAACTAGTGGCGTATGTTGCCGTTTGAAACCTGTCCTTCTCCATACCAACACAGCTCTGCAGCAGACTGTGACTTGTCTGCAGCAGGGACGAGGGCTGATCACAGCTAGGGGACCACCCTAGAAAGAAATTCCTTACTCAAAAATCTACCAGTTCGGGATTCCTATTGCTCCTCTTCTAGCTTCCAAATCTGATGCTATTTCAAAGCTCAAGTCAGGTCAAAAGAACTGACAGAAGCTCTGAAATCATCCTTGTCACAAACATCTCATGTGCCATTATTTAATTTCAGTAGTGATTCTGGCTATTTTTGGCTTCATTTAATTGGAAAGCTCCTTTTGATCTGTAGATCCAACCCAATTGGTCAGAATTCTTAAAAAAATAATTTTGTGGTATTGATTATTAAGCAAATATAGACTTAGAAATCTTTTGATTATACAGATATTTTTATTATGATAGTAGTCATTGTTTTATTGTATGACTAACGTATTTATCCTCCATTTTCAAGAATATACTGCTAGCCAGTATACCCTGTGTTTTTGACTAGAAATACCAAAATTCAAGCAATGGAAGGGAAAATGAGTGGAAAAATTAGACTCTGTCGCTGATAATCTATAAACAGAAAGTATCTCTTAAAACTCTTGCAAGTTTTATTTCTGTAATAAATACTTAAAATATTTTATTTATATTTAAATGAAAATGACTCTTTTCAGAAATGTGGATATTTAAATTAATATTAGTTAATGAGCGCTTTATAGATTGTCTTAGTTCTCAGTTTTTATTAATTTCCTGTGACTCCTGCTGACAAATTGACTTTTCTGACCCCATTATATTAGCACATTATATTTTTATCCTAGTATCTTCCCTTATAATTATTCCTCTTATGACAATTTAACCTGAAATACTGGCTCTGATGTGTATACATTAAATATTTGTAGAGCAGTGGCCTTGTGATTTTTAAAAGGTACAGTGGGTAATAGACAATTAAATTTCTGTGACCCCAGTAGACCCCCCCTTTAACATTCCCAGGCCTGGGCCAAGAATACAGGGAGAACTGCATCCTGTATGTGTAAATATTTAAACGTCCTGAATCAAGCTTGGAAACTGTTAGGATAGTCTATCCTCCTACCTTGGTAAATATACCTGGAAGGTCAGAGTAAAATTTAGAATGCTCAGATTCCAACCACTTCCGTACCAGAACACAGTGCCCTGGAAGACCTGAGCTGTGGCCCATCCCTTTCTCTTCCCACCTCCCCACTGTGAGGGGTCTTGAGTGTGAATCTGGGGACAGCTCAGCTGGCACATTGCAGTTTCATCCATATACCCCTCACCACACTACAAACAGCACCTCTTGGCCAGCCTTCAGACCTGGGGAAGAGGACCACACGAGGTCTGGAAGCAGAGCCGAGGTCACTGGGGCAGAGAATTTTGGGGGGTGTGTGTGGGTACCAGGATCCTGTTCGAGAGGAAGGCAGGCTAACACGGTGAAGGGAGGTATGGCCAGAGGAGAGGCAGAGCAGGGTCCTCTAAAGATGGGACACCCAGTAAAGGACTCCCTAGCCAGGGCCTAAGGCCCGTAGGTACTGAGTACCACATGGCACAGTCTGTAGGTCAACTAACTTCCAGCTTTGCTGTCAGTTACCGTCTGTGGTTATTTTAGACTGCTTTGGAGACACATTGAAAATCAACTCTTCTTTCAAAAACCAGAGATTTACATAAAGGTTTTCAAGTCTTTTGAGATTTGCTTGGCTTTCTCTCTGCATAGCATTAAATAACGGTATTTTTATACATTAAAGTCCACAGATGTTAACGGGTTACAGTTTTGGTTTAGAAACACGGGATTTTGCAAAGAACATTTTAATCTCATTTCATCTGTTATCAGAATGGGATGCAAAATGACTTCCATGTTTCTAGAACAATTACGGCACAGCAGAGTTAGTGTAACCTTGAAAACATATTGTTTGTTTCCTTTGTGAAATGTCAAAAAGCTACGTTTTCTGACTATATTGCATGCCAGTCACTTCTGTACCTTCCAGATTTTTCATATGGTGCAGAGTTGACCTTTGTCTTATGAGCTGGAGCTCAATTCTTGTATATTCGGAAAGGTATGAAATGTAGGCATTGAGATTGTGTTGTGAGCAAACGTAATTATTTCTTTACAGTATAGAAGATGAAAGCCCAGCTATTGTAACTGGCCTTTACTAATGTCTAATAATAACTAAGTAACTGAATACTGACTGAATTCCTTTCCTAGGGCTGCCATAACAAAGCACCACGAACTGCGCTTAAAACTTACTCTCTAGAAGAGAAGGCTAGAAGTCTGAAATCAAGGTGTGGGCAGGGTCATGCTCCCTCCGGAGCCTCTAGGGGGGCACCTCCCTGCCTCTTCCAGCCTCTGGTCACCCCCGATATTCCTTGACTTGTGGCACATAACTCCAATCTCTGCCTCTGCCTCCGTCTTCACATGGCCGTCTTCCCTCTGTGTCTGTGTCTGTGTCAAATTTTCTTTTTCTTGTAAGGACATCAGTTATATTGGATTAGGCTAATCCCGTATGACCTCATATTAACCTGATTATATCTACAAAGTCCCTATTTCCAAATAAGGTCCCATTCACAGGTACAGGGGTCAGGACTTAAACGTATCTTTTAGGGAGACACAGTTTAACTCATAACACTAACTATATGCCAGAATCTATTTTAGGTGTTTTATATATATTATCTCATCAAAACCTTATAGCCACCCTATGAAACAAGTACTGCTGTGTCTCTGTTTTATAAATGTGGAAACTGAGGCAGAGAGAGAGAACGTAAGTTGTCTGAGTCCACACAGCTAGTTATTGGCCGGGACATACACAGCCCAGGCAGTCTGGCTCCCAAGCCCACATTGTGACCGCTAAGAATCATGGACGACTCCATGCTATACATGACCTAAAATATAATAGGATTGTAGTTTGCATGTATTTTATTCAAATAAACTCTGACCGTCCAATCTTGAAAGCTAGAGTCTTTAGTTCTCAGTTTGTGTCTTTTTATAACTATCTTTATATCTAAACATTACAGATAATTTTACATTGGCAAAATGGCTGGACTAGTTGGAGTTCTCAGTTCCCAGCAGTATGAAGAGAGAAAGGAACCAGTGTAAATAGTAAAAGCTGCTTGAGTGTAAGAGACAGAAGAAAATTAGTATAATTTTCAATACAAATGGACAAAACATTAAGAATATTTCTTTTATAAAATATATTACTTTCTTAATTATTTTTCCAGTGGTTAATAAAAAATATTAATCAAAATTTAGAGAGTTATAATTTTATGCCTGTTTCTAGATTTTTAGAAAAGAATTGCAGGAGAAATGCCTTCTCACCTTATAAAGCTATAAAGGTCAGCATCTCAGTAAACTCAGTGATTTTGCTAAGGGAACATTAAATAAAGTGTAAAATGATATTTACATGTACATGAATATATGGAAATATAGGTGGTAAGTATATTCCTATTCAAACATGGATTTTATAAGCAAATGCTAAACATTCTAATTAACAACTATATATATATAGTGTATATATATGTATATAGATTACATGTGACAAGTCTAGACTTATTGTGTGCACTTTTGTCATCTAGGCTCTATCTAATCTGTATATATAGACATATTTGTCATATATACTATTTATTATACATACTATATATTACATGTATATATAATATATATAGTAGACATATATATATACTGTATTGTATGTAATATATATATAAACAAATATATATCCAGATAGATAGATAGATAGATAGAGCCTAGATAAGAAAAACGCACACAATAAGTCTAGACTATTCACAATTCTACTATGTAAATAAAATTGCAGTAATTCTCTAAATGGAAGATAAAAATCTACAGGGAAAGAAAGCAAGGTATATATTATATATTGCATCCCAACTAGGAAGAACCTTTACTTACCTGGGTTTCCTTACTGTTCCTGCCTAAGCATCCACTTTCTAAGAGGTTAGTGTGCATGCAGAGAGCAGAGCCCGCTCAATCCTTTTAACCCCTGGTCTGCATTGGTACTCCCTCCCCTCTTAGTAGCAACTGAACTTCCCATTCAGCTGATCCTTGATGTGGACTCAAGACGTGGCTTCTGCCACCAAGATCTCTGGGTCCTACTCAGATCACGTCAGCCTCTTGCTACTTAACCTCCACTCTTGTGAACATAAAAGCATAGAGTGTAACAGATACCATCCATAAATAACCAGGCACACAATTAGTGAGAGGAGTTCTTCACCAGCCAATAAGGCAAAGCTGACTCTTCCTAGCACTGTGAGGACCCATGATTCCTTTGTGGCATTTCTCTTGTCCTGCCATTAAAAGCATGGAGCCCAGTCACATGACAGAAGTCTCTTCTCACCTTCGCTGTATGGGGACACTCTGGCTTCCCTTCAAGGAACTGAAAAGTTGTCTTAGCTCTCGTTCAGATTTCCATTCTGCCATGGATTCTCTTGTGGGCCACAGCCTCTCTCCATCTAAAACATGGGGATAATGACCCTTGCCTCTACACCTGTTTCACAAGGGCACTATAAAAACTACAGAGGACCTGGTTTTTCTTAATGTTTTAAGATACCTAGGTTTCATTAATGGAGTAAATCTAAACTTCAGATTGGTTATATCAGTGGATTATGTTTCTGGGTCCAAATTTATGTTCTTACCATATGAGATATCTTTTTAATGTAATGGCCACAGTTCTCATAAGCATATTTTTTAAGCCTGGAAAAGTAACTTATTATCTCCCTTTTACCGAAATGTTTGTTTAGCATGTCTTTGAAATACCAAATGCAGGGAAGCAAGTATAAAACATTTTACATATTCAAAGTTGTTTTCATAAATAAGGAAAACACCTTATTTCTTGGCATTTATGTGATTTTTTTTTTTCTGTTGCCATGAGTAGATTTCTTGGATTTTGTCTTCCTCACGGTATTTATTTGTGGCATTCTATCCCGGTCCTACTAAAATATGCCATATTTTTCACATTAGTCTTCATGATACACTAACACATCTTAAGAACTGTGATCTTTTCTATGGCTCTGACAATAATGTGCCCAGTACCATATTTTAAAACTAGTTTACTTGGCAAGTTATCTTTCCATGGGGTAAGCACTGAACCAAACAGCAACATACATGACTTACTTTCATAAGCAAATGTCCGAGCCACCAAAATGCCAGCAAGAATGAGAAGTAGTAAAGAATGTTCCTCTTCAGGCCTGATTAGAACTAGGCCACAACTGATTTCACAAAATGGTAAGCATATGTCAATGCTTAAAATAATAACCCTCCATTTCCCGCCTCTTGATTTCTCAGTGTAAACTTGCGGGAGCTCACGAATAAAATATTTCTTTTTTTACCAGCCTCGAAGTTGATGTTAGCCCCAAGCCAGGAGAAGAGAAATGAATTTTTAACTTTTAATCTGAAACATTTTCCTGCTGTTTTTCATAGGTTTCTCCTCAGAAAAGAAAGTCCATCAGTAGAAGCACACGAGCAGAGGGAGAGCTTGGCTGAGGGCCTTCATTTTTCTTTTCACTGTGGCTCTGTCTGCTACAACTGTACATCATCTACTCCATTATTTGTGCCTGGTAATGTTTCACTTTGGCATGGACAGAGGAAAAGGCTTGTGACAGCTGAGATCCTGATCAAGTCTGAGGAGCCAGTGTTATACAGCCAAGCACAACTTCCAGTTGTCTCGAAATGAGATTTGGCAGATGGATTATAGGCCACTCCTTGGACCTCTCTTCAGCATATTGCTGTTGGATTTACGGAGGTGATTTCATGATTTCAGCAACTCCACTTTTAGTGCAATGATATTGTATGTTGATTTAAATATATATTCCCTGAGGGAAAAATTTCTGCAGTTGTAAATTTTTAACTTTGCTCCCATTATATTTAAAGGGGCTTAGTTCTTTAGCTGGTTTAACTGGATACTATGTTGGGATTAAAGAGGTGTATATATTTCCTTAAACTAAATGATTGGTTCAATCTGAATAAAATGATAAACTTGAAACTATTCTTTAAACAGATAATTTCTTTTAAGATGACAGGAAATTGCGAGCCTACTTCATTTTCACGTGGACTAGATTATGAGGTAAAGTCCTAATGTGATGGTGTTTGCTTTGCTGCGTTCATATTTACTTATAGAAGTAGTTCAGAGATGTATGGATTTGCAGTTAAATCTGTGTTTTTCCTTCCTATGGATTTGAGTAATTATTAATGAAAAACATAATTCTGACTTCTCAAACCAATTAAAATGGAAAATGAATGTATGCAAATTTTATTGCAGTTCAATTATACAGTGGCATGACAGATGTCTGAAGATTAAGCAGATTTAAAAGTACTTAGTTCACCCATTTAATAAGGATTCTGCTAAGACCAACTGGAGATCCTGCTTGTGAGGAGAGGTATAGCAGGGGTGTGAGATCCATGGAAGTCCAGACTTCTAGAAGTACCTGAAGAAAACCAGGAGCATCAGCTGAAGCTGATGTGAAAGAAAACAATCCAGATGTACTGCTGAGCCTATCTAGTTCCAACTTCCAGAAGTTATGCTGCTTAATTCCAGCTCGTTTTAAAAAATTTCTGGAAATGCTTGAATCTTCGTGTAATGGGAAGGTGAGAGAGCCTTAGGCAGTTAAATACTTTCAGTCTCGGTCTTGAGCTACTCAAACATAATTCTTGAGAAAGAATTATCTTTCTCTCACATGAATTCTTTAATGCTTTGTTTTTGCTGCTACTTATTAAGGAGACAAATCATCCTTGGGCAATACTTCAGTATAAGTGAGTCAGAAAAACAACAGAGTTAACAAGTCAGTTGCATTGAAACATTTTGGCATATTTTTTTCTTGATTTCTATTTCCTCAGATTAGTGAAAAAGTCATTGTAATATCAACTTCTAGTGGTGGATTAAGTTTGTCAACTAAGGTGTGCCCACCAGAATAAAAACTGAACATACATACCGGAAGTACCCCTTGATAGGCTTGTTATGGGTCAATTCAACAGAAGTAAAACATGATTCAACCATCCTATTACTATTACTGAAGTCATCCTGTTACTAATTAGCAAGTTGCCAAACATTGGCAAGATTGTGCAAATGCTAACGTAATAGGAGAAAATCCAATTTCAGTGAGACCTAATTTAATTTGAACTCCCTGTGGGTGACCACAAACGTGAGACGAGGACCCCTTCCTCAGAGTGCAACTACCATTCCAAGAAGACAGATTTCTCCAACCTCCACCTGGGAGTCAGCCAGTCCCTCCTGTGTCCGGCTCCCCTTGTCATTTGTTTGGGGACTTCTTTGTCTCAGCTCATTATACGGGTCATACCCCTCAGCAGAGGCACTTGCTGCATTATCACACAATTTGTGGAAATAGCGTGGGAAATAGCTGTGTCCCTTTAAAAGGAGAGCAAGGCCCATCACACAGTCTCTTTTACTTAGAAAATGTAAGACTAGGCATATTTTAGGTGTTTGATGACCATGGAGAATTTGGTCTTTGATGTGAAGGTATCACATGAGGAGAAAAGTGTGTTCACTTTGTCCTGGTTGTGATGAGCAGTCAGAAGAAAACCTTCCTTAGGGTCTGGTCAGGTCTGGGAGGTGGGCAGCCTCCATTGCTCAATAGCGTAGATTTTTTTTGGACACCATTTTTCTTATCAACAAAAAGGTTAGTTTGGACTAAATTGCTATTATTAAGCAAGGACTAACTTCCAGATGGTTTTTTCTTAAGTTTATTTACTGAGCTCCATCACCAGCAAGAGAGGTATAATCATCCCCTTGTTACAGATGATTAATCTAGGGCACAGAGAGATTCAGTCATTTCCCCAAGGTCTCACAGCAGGAAAGCTGCAGAGCCAGGATTGAAAACTGTCTGAACCAGGGCCACCCAGTTCTGTGCATGCTATAATTCTGCTTTCTAGATAACTCCCAGCAAGTTCTACCTTTTTTTATGGTTCTTTTGGGTTTTCATCAAGTTGAATTACAGGAGCATACTTCTTAGGAGAAAATAGTTTGATAGGAAAAAATACTATGTGTTGTATGGAATTTGTAAGTTACCCCTTGTAGGGCCTGGGCCTTGCTTGCTCAGCAAGAGCCCACAAACCCGTTGCATCCACATGTCTTTCTGGCTCCCTTCTGAGCAGGATGCCCAGTGCTGGGATTTCTAACAATCCAGGGCCTGGCCAGCCTGGAATTTACCTTATCCCATTTAAAGAACATCACATCTTAAAGGGACATAGAGCCCCTCCACGTGAGCTACCGTTCCTGGGAACGCTGGTCGTACCAGGGACAGACCCTTGGCAAGCATATAGCCTTTGTGTCCCCTGCCTATATAAGAAACCTCCTCCCCACCCACGGTAGCGGGTGCACGTTTCCGTCCAGCCGGCCTCCACTGGACCTCCCTGTAAGTAACTCCCAATAAACCTGTATGTCTCCTTCACCGTCTCCAGGTCTTTTCTTCCGTCTCTCCGAAACCTACCCCGCACTGCTCACCAACCGGGTGTGCGTCCAGACACTCCTTAAGTTAAGAGAAGTATCTCATTTAGGCTAGGAAAACAAAAATATAAATTTAATGTTAAAGTGCATTAAATGGTACAAGTATGGGCCTGAGTGGTTGCTTCCATGTATCGACGCCTCTAATGTAGCTCAGTCACTAGAAGAATCTAATCTAAAAGACATACGAGCTCCCAATTCAATAACTCAATTTAACAATTATTATTTAAATACTCTCTTATTTTCAAAAATGTCTAGGCGTCACACAACCTCTCACACTGCCTCTGTCTCTGTGCACTATTTTTGGTTGAATCCATATCCGGAGGGGAGGACAGAGTCATTTAGTAGCTGTTATTCTCCTCAACTTGAGGGTCCCTTTGCTCTTTTTTCATTTCTGCCATTTTTCTTCCCAGTTCCTTGGGGACCCCAGCGATATTAAATTCTGGGGAGACATCAAATCAGTTGCATTGCTGTTGTAGCCACACTATGATCCTTCTTTTCCTGGCTCAAAATTGCTTAAGGTCCATTACATAGCTCTAAAGAAAAGAAAATATTTACTATAATCTCTACTTTTCAATAATTTTAGAAATAATTTCTCTTGCCTAGTTTCCTTCTTACATATCTACCTCTTCACTTTCATCAGTATTTTGCTCTAAGGGAGAAGGGGTCACGGGGAAACAGTTATACTCTAAGCCTTTGTGATTCCACAGAAAAGAAAACTTTTATCAGCACACACCACACACACACCCACATACACCACACACACATCCACATATGCCACACACACACCTCACCATACACAGACACCACACACACACACCACACAGACCTTACCATACACACACACATACACGTGCACACATATACCACACACCACACACACCAAACACGCACACACCACACACACTCACATACAACACACACACACATGCACACATACACAACACACCACACATACCCACATACACCACTCACCACACACACACACACATACATGACACACCACACACACATACACCACACCACACACACACACACACACACACTGCCTCTGCCTCCTAACCTTGTGGGCAACACTACAGGTCTCTAGTTTCTCCAGTGGTGACTGGGTAGATTTATTCAAATTGAAAAATTTGCTTAATAAAACTAACTTTTTCCATTTTGCCTCAAATCCTTGTGTGTATAATACATTGCCAAGAATACTGACAAAGTATTCTTGGCAAGAATACTGACTCCTAAAGGTCATGATAATGTTGCAGTCTAGAACCAATTAATTTGCCAATATGAGGGGAGTTTTAATGTTGTGGGAGTGTATGAATTTCACTAATTTGTGTACTATGCTCTCCTTCCACTTTATTCCATTCCAGCATCAGAAAGAGGAGCATAACTTACAAAGGTCATGTAATACTGTTTTGGTAAACTAAACACAGCCCTTAGGGCTTCCCAATGTGCTTACCTTATTACTGAGAATTAATTTGCTGGGAGAATTCATCGTGTTAACTGATTTTCCAGAGTGCTCTTGACGGGTGGGAATGTGCTTACATTGATGGGCGATTCCATTTGCACATCTGTGGGGGAGCCTCACGGCTCCCCTCTGCCTCATCTGCAGCCGCAGGACGATGACCCTCAGTCAACCAGAGACACACACACAGCCGGCAAGAGCCAGGCCTGCTCCACTCAGAGCGGCCTCCGCAGGCAGGAGGGCTGGCTGTGCCGAAGCAGAAGAAACATGGAAAAAGGACTCAAAAGAAGAAAGCTCTTCTCTGGAGTCCCCCCTGGAATCTGGTTTGTAGGAGGCGTGTGAAAGAAAGAGCGCGTGCGTGCAGCATCTCCCAGGAACGGGCAGGCCCTGTGAAAGAACGTGGTAGTGAAGCAACAGTGGGAACACAACCCTGCTCCCGACGCAGCCATATCTGGAGTGTATTTTAAGAGAAATCAGTGCTGGTGAAACTGCTCAGTGTGTCACGTCATGTGCACTTGCCACACTCAGGCTGTGTCCTTTTGCCCTGGGAAGGGAGGTTGTGCAAATACTCCTGCAAGATCTCAGAGTCCAGCCCAGGCTGAGATACTCTGCATTTCTCTCCAAGGGTTACAAAATGGAGCAAGATTTTGCATGCGAAGAATGAGAATTACACTTTCTCTCGTCCTTTGATTCTAACTTGTATAGGTTCTTTCCCCCATTCCTGGGAGGGAGGACCTCATGTCTTCCGACCGCTCCTGAATTCTTTAGACCAAAACCATGTGTCTCTCCCTTCAATTTCCTCTGTTTCTTTATTCGTACTCTTCTCCTTCTCCTTTTAGGTAATGGAAGTTTCAAAAAGGCAAGATGGATGCTAGAATGAAGGTAGATGGTATAATCTCAAGTTCAGGAGATGTGGTAACTTACATGGGGGTCTCCAGATTCCCATTTCGTAATCCAGACCTCTCTCCTGATTCCTAAGAAGGAGCTCAACGTGG